TCCAAAGTCAGAACCATTTCATTTTGAAAAGCTCATTCAGGATATTAATACGTTCATTTTCAAATCATATAACTTTATGTTATAACATGTCAGAGCAAAGCACATTGTGTTGGCATAACAACTGGAAAAAAATATTATTTATTCAATATTTTAAGTCTTGAGGGGAAACTACTGCTCAAAGAGATCAAAGTGTCTCCTCTTCTGAATGTAAAAAGCCTACTTTCACACTTGTAAAACGGTGTATGAAGATAGAGGAGGCAGTTAAAGTCTGCTGGGTATCTACAGACTTCACCTGCTCGCCTACACTATGCATTTGTAAGGAGTCGGCTTCTAACCAAATATGTACATCAGCAGTGCCAAGAAAATTATCACAGCCCAAACAACCCTGATGATACAACTCAACTTGAACACTTTGCATGCTGTTCAGTAAAAGTTCCCCTGGAATTAAGGAAGTTAAGATTTTTGTTACCCAGTAACCTGCTGATTTGTTTGCTTCAAGTGTACAAATAGTAAAATGTAAAGTGTCCCACCTTCTCCCTGAGCAGTTTCAGGCATGCGTGAAAGGCACCATCCTGTCCCTGGTGAGTGACACCTTGGTGCTCAACCTCTCTTCCCCCAGGCCCCCCCACACCACCTCTGCTATTAGACTAGAAAAATGGATCAGGATTTTCCAGCTCTACTTTTCTTCCCATCAGCCCATCAAGACCAATTTCCCATTTTGTTTGCTTTGCACCATCACCCCTGCTTTACGATTCCTGCTCCATTCTACCTATTGCATTGTATTTTCAGTTTTATGTCATGTCCTTTTCCTTCCTTATGCTGCAAAGTTTCTGTCCGCTCTTAGGGCTTTCCAACTGCATTATTTTTCCTGTAAACAGGCAGCTGCCTGAGAAGACTGAAAAGGGCAGAAAAGAGGTGCCTACATCCCATTTTCTAGCCCAGTATTTTAGTCCAAACTCTTCTCCCGGGGAGTTTACAGGAGACTCAGGGGTAGAGTATGCAGTGAAGGCACAGGTGGGAGGGCAGCACCTCAGGCCAAGTGTCAAAGGAAACAGCCAGGAAGAGGAATTTCTCATGCTGCCGCAGCTCCGGTTACCCTCTTGAGGATGCTCCTGCTCCCGGCCTCTCTAAAACAGCAAAAAAAGGGGCACCTGGCCATAAGAGAAGTTGCTCAGCAGCAGTGACCTGACTGCTCTTGGATACAGGAGTTGTAACTTCTGGAAGAAGGGTGAGAGGACAAGGACATCCAGAGGTGATGTTTTTCGTTAGGTGCACAAATGGTCAGGTGCAAAACTCCTGGGCTGAGGGGTGTCCTTTCCCAGAGCAGACTCAGAGGGCAGCTGCCTGCCCAGGGAGTGCTGAGGCACTGTGAGACCTGGGGGTTTTGTCCTACCCTCTGCCACCACCGCTGCTGTGGGCAGCAGACAGTGCCTGCCAAAGCTCAGCCTTGCTTCCCAAGAGCAGCTGATGGCAGGTGACCGTCCCCTGGGGTGGGAGCATCGCCTGGGCTGGGGGCCCGGGGAGTGGTGACCGGTGGCCACAGCTGTGTCTGGTGGCACCTTGCCCATGCCACCGTCTCCCTTTTCCACCAGGCTCACCCAGGTGTTTTTCCTGAAGTAGTGTTACAAATGCTGTGACTGTTCCAAAGTGGACTGGGTGCACACCCAGCCCGCTGGGCTTTGGCTGCATGGCAAGAAGAGACACGCTTGTTGCAGGATGCTTACATCTTTAGGAGGCATCGCTTAATCACCTAACAGCCAATTTTGTGACTCTCATTTCTACAAAAGAGAAAAAAAAATTAACTCAACATTGGAAGAAAGCCAATATGCACGGAAGAGTCACTACAGGGGTTTTTTTGAGGAACAGTACCCTGACTTCACCTGTCCTTTACAAAAAGCAGCAGTTATCAGTAGTCTGAGACCACAGTGTGCAAACACCTTACCTTTCTAGGGTAAAAGGTAGGAGAAGCTTTGTGTGGGAATAATTGTGACTGTTCCCATATTGGAGATGTTTATTTTCCCTTGTGCCGGTCAGGAGCACTAGAGTAGCTCAGTGTCTTTACCTCACAGTCCTTAAAAATGCCGGAATTAGAGTAATGAGATTGGTCAGAAAACAACGACAAGCAAGTGGTTAAGCTAGTCCCTAATATTTTCTTATCTTCCAATGCTGTGGGGGTTTTTTTGCTGTAACAAAGCAAAAGTATAAATATATTGTTCTAACTGCAGAGCTTTTTCTTAAAAATGTGAACTCCAGGCCAAAGAATCATCACAAGTGCAACACCAAATCCAAGTACACTTGACTCTAGAGAGAGGGCAGTGGAAAGCCAAAAGGATCCAGTCCACCTGTCATCGAATCAAAAATAGAAACGGAGCAGCAGGTTACAGGACATCAAGCTGAGTCTGTGAAAATATTCAGCAATTTGTGAGATCTGTTTTCTCAGCCCCCAAAAATGGCAGTGATATTTTGGCTGTTCAAGAGTTAAAATGTGCTTGTTAGAAAAGAAATGTGTATTTATGCAAAAGTGTCCTTGAATACCACCAGGATCCTGTAACACTTGCTTGCCAGTACTATTTCTCCCTTTTTCAGCTCCTCTATCAGCTGAAGGAACACCAATGAACACTATGAAAGGGTTTGTAGGAAGCTACACACCGTCCGCTCTTGAAAACTCCTTCTAACTGGCAATTTTCTGAGCAATTTTGTCTTAAAAGAAGACCTTGCTACCCCAAACAGGCAAAAGGAACCCACATTTCCCTGCCTATCTCAAGCAGAGGAAGGACAGTGCCTCTATTTACAGTCAGCAATGATTTGCGAGAGGCCAGGCTACCCACAGGGAACGCACTAAATATGTGACTGCTGGGAAATGAAAATAAGTGCCTGCCTTCTGTGTGAGAAGACCCCTGAGCTAATTTAGAGACCAGAAGGAGCCCACCCATGCCAGTGCAGACCTCACTGTAGCTTATGAGCAAGGTAATTAGCTGGGACAGTGTACAATAATAATGCAGCTTTACTACTCTGCTATTAAAGCTAACTCCATTTTGAGGCAGCATGACTACCTCTTGTATTGCACCATCTAAACATGTTCTGAATATCCTATTGCTGACCGCAGCCATAGGGAAGCCGGTGGACTTCATTAGCGATCCAGGACTAAGAGCGTCTCCAGGTTCCCGCCTTCCTGATTTTACTCCCTCATGCATTTTCCAGTTTGCAAAAGTGTAAACACTGTCTGTGCTTCACACATAAAGAAATAAACTTCCTTGCTTAGCTGTACGTTGAGCCAAAGTTTTGAACCACCAGATCTAGTCTTTCCTTAGCCTGCTGTGTTTCGTGGTCCGAATGGTGCCTTCAAAAAAGAGCCGTCACGCCTTGAAAATAGATTGTGAAGTCTACTTCCCCCATGACACATACAAATTTCAGTGTTTCTGGGGTATGTGGTTCAAAACATGGCAAAACATTCACAAGGACGTTCTCATGTTTTTATTGATCTGGTACCTCCAACCGCATGGACTCTCTGGGTCACATTTTTTGAAAGCAACCCCAGAGAGTTCAGGAGTACTTCTCCTGGTCTAACCAATTCTCCAAATTTTCCTCCTGGCTTGAAGCTAAATACACAACTAGCACTGGAAAGAAAAACAAATGTTTATTGCCAGCTCGCAGACACCAACAATTATCTACAGGTCCTTGCTGACTGATGGTTTTAACACATCGGCCACTGCAGTGAATCATCCAGCAATTTTAGGAAGGATAGTTTAAATTCAAAAGAAACAGGGAGGAGGTAAATATGTAACAGACTAATATTTTGCTCTGCTACACTTTGTACCACCAAGGGAAAGAAACACAAACCCTGTAGTTCTAGCTCCAGTCTTGCAAAGCAATTCTTACAAAAACTAAGATCTGCCGTGGCGGTGATTCATCTCTGTGTTGTACTTAATGAGAATGTTTCTAGGCTGAGTTTGCAGAGCTCAACCAGTTTTACGTCTCTCTGATTAAAGGGGAAGAGCATTATTTTGGAAACAGAGCTGAACTCACTTAGGTTTCTCAACCTGACGTTCTTCATCAGGGTGTGGTGAGCTCTGCAGAGCACATGCTTCACTTTGGAAAGGAGCTGCCTTGGCCAGGTTTTCATTTCATTTCATTTTGGTTTGTTCTCCTCAAGAAAGTTTCCTTGTGAGAGTGAGCATGTCTGCAGCAGAACACATGTTCTCCTTACCTTGAATCTTAAGATGGCCCATCAAAGTCATTAACCCACATCTCAATTTATCAGCCAAAGGGTTATGAGCTGTTCCGGGGAAGGCAAACCACTGTCATCCAGGACTCATCCAGGACTCTGGATTCCCCGTGTTACCTGTACAATATTGGACAGTGTCTTCTGGAAATCATGACTCTGTAACGTGCCACCTACAGGAAATTTCTGGGCTCTTGTTGAAAACAAGTGAACATTGACACCTCTGCAAGCGTTTGGTGATCATGTGAGCTGACATTGAAATACCAGCATGCATGTCTTTGTATACAGCCAAGATAAACCAGAAACTATTAAAAGCAGTTTCTTATGAATAAACTGTATGTGCAGAC